AAAAAAAAAAAAAAAAAAAAAGCTTTTCACATTCCAGGCATGTCTGTATTTGAAAACATTAAAAATGTTAACAATATTTTTACACAAAATATAACCTGCTACCTACCCTAAGTAGTTTATTTTCCTGTGATGTCATTATCAATATCTTCTCGCACTATCACTTCTAATCACACGTTCCGATATTATTCTTTCCGCGTTCACGATTCGCTCGCTACAACTGAATTCGGCGACTGTTCCAATTCAACTGTTAGGCGGCTGCTATATTTCAACTGACTCCTTAAGCAGTGCAGTTCCCTTATAAACCCTCAGCCTGACAACGGGAAAACGCCTCACTTCCTTGTTGCCTAGTCGCCGTGTTTACAGATGTTGCTGGGCAACGCTGCCGAGAGTTGTTCATTGCTGCATAGCAACCGCGGTTTCCCCTGCTACGTCATCGCGAGGGTGGGAGACGGAGTGTTGACTGGCCGGCAACCGCAGGCGGGGGAGGGGGCGTCCTGCATAGCGCAAATACGTCACAATATTTATTATAGTTGCACAGTATACACAGACGAAATTGAGTTTGAAGAATTGAAGAATAATATTGTCACATGTTCGGAATCTAGAAGAGATACTTCCATGGAAACGCTAGAAAAGACCGTTGCGTAGGAATTGCAGAATCAACCGGGAAATACCGGAGTATTCTACAACGTTACCGGTGCAACTCAAAATCATAGCATTTAATGCGAACGGCATTTGGAGGCAGCGCTATGAGCTCGGTAAACAGCTGCAAGACCTACGCATAGATGTGGCCGTGTTTTCAGAGACACATCTGAAACCTTATGAGAGATTTTTTCTTCCAAATTACCACATTTATAGAACGGACCGCCACTCAGGCAGAAAAGGCGGAACTGCCGTTGCAGTTAGGAAAGGCATCCCCCATAACCATGTAGACCTACCACCCCTTATTTCAGTAGAAGCGACAGGGGTCTGCATACCAGTTGGTAACAGTGAAGTACTGCTACAGCTATGTAAGTTTTGAGGTTTTCACGGCGATGACTTTGAAGAAAGCCGTCTTCTGGGATCGGGCGCGGTGTATTCTTGGTTTTAACCACGTTTCGGAGGAACATATCGCCTCCATCTTCAGGCTAGTTGAGTTGCGTGCGAATACAGCAGCTACTGCTATCTGTATTCGCACGTAACTCAACTTTACTGCTTACAGCTGTTTATAAATCCCCACGCAGGGCCTGGAGTGATGCTGACATTGCAGAGTCTTAAGCTTTAGACGTAAGTCTATTTCGGCAGGTGATTTGAATGCTAAGCATCCATTTTGGAATAGCAAAGTTTCAAACCCCTCGGGCTTGAAACTCATGGATTTATTTGATATGAGTGATTTCAAAATCACAGCACCAAAATGCCCCACTCATTATTCGCCTACGGGAAATGGTGACGTGCTGGATATTGTGGTCCACAAAAATGTCAGAATGTCAGATGTCATCGTCTCCGATATTTTGGATTCAGATCACCTACAATAGTATTCCACATACTGGATCATGTTAAAATTAGGAACCTTTTGGAACCTATTGAAAAATTCACAGATTGGGAGCGGTTTCGAAGCCTCGACTCGGAGTTAATATCACCTAAAATAGAAATTAAGTCTGGGGTAGAAAGCGGCGCGCGACTTTGCAGCCTCTACTGCTTCGGCATATAGGTTGTCCACATGAAAAGTTACACTTTCGGACATAAACAACGATCTTCCTGGTCTAGGTCGCCTGTTAAAACATAAGCAGAGGCTTGGAGACTTTAAATAAAAAACTGAGACTGGAGTAGGAATTAGCAGTTGCTAGGTATCTGAGCGTAAGTGCCAACCGCTCTGCAACTGGAATAGCTTTTCGAAATGTGCTGTCAGCCTTTGCTATCTTCGGTCCCACCAAATTTACTAGAGCTTCAAAATCTGATGGGAACATACGGCAAAATGTCTTGAAATGTAATTTTTCTACTCCCAAGTCCTCCAAGAGATCACTTCCACTGTAGATTTCCCGACTTTTGAAAACTGTGGTCATCCACCATCTGCGTTTTTGCGGTAGCTTCTTGCGTCTTCTTTCTTGTTCCTGACCTAACAGGCGTATCACGAGGAAACTCGCAGCACTCACTACAACTTCGTCCATTTAAAATTTTTAATTTAAAACCTATATCCAATAAATTAAAATACGACTACAGCCTATACACAATACGAGTAAACATACGGATCCTCACGCGCCGAAGCCTGGCGCTGAAGTAGTGTGGACGAAGATTTACGAGCACAAGTAAAAGCCAGAAGAGTTTCCAGACGAGCACGAGTAATGTGGACGGGCCATAACAGCCTTCATATTAACTCATCTTGCTGGTTCTAAACAGCCAACACACAACCTAACCAAGCATAACCAGGGCAGACACAAAGGAATGTGCAGAACGATATCCACACGGATGCATCGCCCTAACCTAACCAAAATCTGTCCCCGCCAACGCTGACAGTTCTACGTGGTTCATGAATTCACCAAAATCCTCGGTCTTTACTTATTTAATTAAACAAATTCCATTTGGTCGCCCAGATCAAATTCTTGTGGGCCAAGAAAACGGATTTATCCAACACCAAGTATACAAAATAATTGTCTCTGGAAACCAGGGTCAGAACTAATACCCCAATATTAAAATAAAAAAAAATAACTTTTCACATTCCTGGCATGTCTGTATTTGATAACATTTAAAATATGAACAATATTTTCATATAAAATATAACCTGCTACTTACTCTGAGTAGTTTATTTTTATTCACGTTATGCCTATCTATTACATTATTCTCTTTCGCTCCGCACTTCTCACACCCGGTTTCCATTATATATTTACAATTCCGTGCCATCTACACGGCGATGAGTGTACTAGATTTCCGTCGCACAGAATGTTCGACTATCGATAGCGACACATAATCACCGATCATTTAAAATATACATATTGCTACGTATTTGGAGTAGGTACTTCCGTGGTAACGTAGTAACAATCGGTAACAATGGACCGTTGCGTAGAGAATACCGGCACAAAGAACACGTTTCCCCGGAGGTGGTCAACAGAAGGTTCGTTGCGTAACAACGGACTGTTGGAACAGCAGAAACGGAACCAAGAGAGATGATGTTTGGTATCCGGTCCGCATAACGCTTGAATGCCTCTCGGACGCGCAGATTCTCGACACCAAGACTTACAGACTGACTGACTGTCAGTCGCAATGTGACTCTGACTCTGACTGTTAGCCTGTCGTCTCCAGTTAAGTAGCTGTAGCCGTTATCTGTTATTATTAAGTGTTGCTTGCAGTCTGCTATGAAGAGATATGTAATGTACACGAACGAAGAACTCGCGAGCATGCATTACATGTATGGTTTGCCGGATGGTAATGTTTTCGAGGCGCGTCGCTTGTATCAGGAACGCTACCCAATTCGCAAATTGCCAGACCGAAAGACATTTGAAGGGATCCATCGTCGCCTATGCGAACATGGAGTTTCGCACGTCCACCAAGCACAAGGGGACGGCCAAGAAGTACAACCCCTGAGGACGAGGCAGATGCACTCAACGCTGTGGATCAAAGTCCTGGAGACTGCTACGAGAACAGCTCCTGTATTCATATCATCTGCAGCGTGTACAAGCCTTGTCTCTTGCGGATTATCCTGCAAGAGTAACGGTCTGCCGGTGGTCAGTGCAGTGGAAACATCCTGTGTCGCCTACCAAAAAAAAGTTTAAAGTGACACCATCCTCCAGGAAAGTGATGCTTACAGTCTTCTGGGATCATAAAGGCATACTGCTCACCGCATTCCAGCCTCAAGGTGATGCAAGATGTTACCACAGCATTGACGCACGCTTTGTCTCGGGCTGTTAAGGGTGAACCCAAGACTCATCACCTGTGACAATTCGGGCTAGCATATCGTGTTCTTTATCGTGGTAGCGATTGAGATGCTGTAATGCCAGACCCATTCTTTGCATTGTGTGTTGTGGGGTCAGCATGCATGACACACATCGTGCACAGACTTTGTGAAAACCTAATTAGCCTTATTAAAATTCAAGGTAAGCAAATTAGCATTAAACCATGTACGAGTATTTATATCTTTGAAAGTTTGATTAAGATTTATTTCAAAGTTTAACTTATTAGTATAAGTTACTATAATACTGGTGTCATCTGCAAATAATACCATATTATTATTTTTATTTATTATTTTAGGTAAATCATTAATATAAAATAGAAAGAACAAGGGACCAAGAATCGAGCCCTGTGGAACACCATGTTTGTTTCCCATTTGGATGAGTTGTTACTGTCAATTCTATTACCTACTACAACTCTTTGGTATCTATATGTTAAATAAGATCCTATAAGTGTTTTGAATTTTCCTCCAATTCCATAGAATTCCAATTTATCCAATAATATTTTATGGTTAACACAATCAAACACCTTTTGTAAATCACAAAAAATGCCTTCCACCATTAACTTACTATTCATCACAGTTAAAATATTACTTATCAATGTAAAAGCTGCCTTCTCAGTCGAGGATTGAGTCCTAAAACCATATTGTTCATGTACCAACAGATTATTTGCTTCAATATCAGTGATAAGTCTTGCATATATGAGTTTTCAGTGCTCTTAGAAAAAGAAATCAACAATGATATATTTATTTATTTCATCTCTATAGAGCATTGTTACATGATATAGGACAAGTCAGGTACTGTACATTGGCTGATACAATAAGAGAATAAAGTTACAATACTTAGAATTGTTTACAATAGATTACAGTAGATTACAATACTTAAGATTTCATATAGTGTGAGGTGGAATCCATATTAGGTCCCCTCGGCACGTCGGCTTCTGTATGTCCTATTGTACCGCTTCTGGTGATGCTGCATATGGAGAATTTGATGGAATGAGGATTGGCAGGTGAAACCAAAGTACTCGGGGAAAACCTGCCCCAGTGCCACTTTGTCCATCACAAATCCCATTTGACTAGACCGCAGCGGTGGGAAGCCAGTGACTAACCGCTTAAGCTATGGCGCAGCCTTTGAGATAATGTTGGTGAATTTGGTGATAGCACTGGTATAACGTTTCACTGTAGACTCTACACTGCAACATCTCATTACATCTGTTCTCCCTTCCTGGTGCAGCTTCTTGGTATCTGCAATCTCTCCAGAATAGCCCATTCAGGTACATCTCTGACTGTGTTAACTTGGTTGCTGGAAGAAAGAAAGGAAAACTGCGCAGTAGGCATTCCCAAAACCGATT